AGTAAAATATCAGAAATCCAAAATCGTGCGGCCACTATCACGGCCTTGCAATATCATTTGGTTCTTATAAGCAGCTGTAGAAAGCAAATTATTTCACAATGCCTTTTTAGCAGGTCTGATTTGGGGGTGTAAACTCTAAATAATAATGGTGCATCTTCTGTCAAAACAATGAATCTAATCAAAATAGAGTGTTAACTAGAAGTCATCTGCCTTACAGGCATTGGGAGGGGTGCGAGGGGGTATATTGGGGTTCTTGGTAGTGAAAAAGAAGTACTGGTGAAGGGAAATTTGTTTGATGATTGCAAGACCGAGACTTAAACATGGAAGCTTTGTAACTTTTCCCACATTGATTCAATAAATAAATTAAAAAAAATTTGTGATGCTGGTATTGGGGAGTTTACATACCTATTTAATTAACTTTTTGGCAACACCCAGCAGAACTCAAGAACTGCTAACAAGATTTTGATCAGGACTCACTCCCTGTGATGGTAATGATAGGGTGGGATGGAGGGATTCAGGGACTATAGTGCTTGTGTAGGTAGCCTGACTCTTAGCATGTGCATTTGTCTTTTAGCCTATCTCTAGAGATTCAGGATACTTAATTGTGTCCCTCACTGTGTTCAGATGTTCACATTAATATTTGATCTGGCTTTCTCAAGGAGAGCTCCATTCTCTTGTGATCTGGATATTACTTTAATAGAATCACTCCTTGTGGTACTCCATATTGAAATCAGGATGAGCCATATCCATTTCTTCTTCACTTAGTCTCACATGGGTTGAAGACCAAAGCCAGTGTTTTAATTATTTTAATTTGTTTTTTCGACCAAGTCCAAATGTGCCCAGAGAACACTTCTGTTAGGGCTTAGGGCACCATACATAGTGACAGAAATTAGGCCCAGGTTAGTTTGAAGCAAAGCAAACTCCTCAGCCTGATGTGTCATCTCACCCTGATTCAGTCTTTCTGAAACTTTTTGTCTGGATCAGTCAAGCTTTTTCCATTTTGGGTTTCTTTACATCTGAAGAGAAGGCAAGCCACGTTGCTCAAATGGAACTCTTGCCCCGGCAGCTTTTGCCAGAAAAGTGAATGCACCATGTGTTAAACTTCGGCGCCATGCTTCCCCAAGAGGGAAAGGGTGTTGCTCCCTTCCACCTTTTACACCTGGCAGCAAGGTGGCCGCCGCCTCAGAGCTTATTGGAAAGCAAGGTATGAGCCAGCAGTGATGGGGCAACTGCAGTCTCATGGGAAGGGGGACGGTAGTGGCTCATCCTTCACGCCCTACCAAGGTCACGAGTTGCCCCCTGCAAGCAGTTCTCCGGCATTGCCATGGCTCCAGAGGCAAAAGGACTTAGTCCAGAGCCCGGCAGCTTGTGGCAAAAAAGTGAATGGACCATGCGTTTAAACTACAGCACCATGCCTCCCCAGGAGGGAAAGGGTGTTGCTCCCTTCCACCATTCCTCTTTCCTCTAGCAGCAAGGTGGCTGCTGCCTCAGAGGTTATAGGAAAGCCAGATATGAGCTGGCGGTGACTGCAGTCTCATGGGAAGAGGGCGGTACCGGCTCCTCCTTCACGCCCTACCAAGATCACGAGTTGCCCCCCAGGAGTGGCTCTCAGGCACAGCCATAACACCAGACCTACAGAAACCAATCTCGTAATTATCTGGCTCTTTGCAGAAATCCAAAATCATTATATGATTCTCATAACCAGCTATAGAAAACAAAGTATTTCACAATGCATTTTCAGCAATTCTGATTGTTGGGAAGCGGGGGTATTGTAAGCAATGATGAATGCAATCAATATAGAGAAGTAGAAATCATCTGCCTCACAGGTATTCAGAGGGGTGGGAGGCGGGTATATTGGGGTTCTTGGTGGTGGAAAATGAATACTGTTGAAGGGAAAGGTGTTTGATCATTGTATGACCAAGACTTAGACCTGAAAGCTCTGTAACTTTTCCTATAGTGATTCAATAAATGAATATAAGAAGAAGAAAAAACAAAAAAGGGGGGGAGCTCTTGCTTTGCATATTAGAGCCTGAGTTCATCCCCAAATGAATAGTCTGTGGAACACGTAGTATGGCTTACCATTGATCACTGATGGGTGTGCCCCCCCCCCAATCTCACAACTCATATATTAAAAGAATGTGTCTTCCTGAGGATGGTCTTATCATTGTGTTCTCACATACCTCAAATTAAGTATGTGGTTTTAACTGAGATGAACGATGACACACTCGGCCTAATCACTTTGTCTGAAACCCCGTACATAAACAATGTGAAACTGATACTGTTAAAACGCTATTTCTTGAGGTGTTCCCCTCCTGAGATTTTTAACATAGAAATTTTTACTTTGACTCCCGTTTCATAAATTAATGACACTGGTAACTGCAACATCTGTAAAATTTGAATAAGTTCCCCTTTGAAATCATTGTTTTTTATGGGTAATGTGAGAAGTTCCAGGAAATGTTGAGAAGTTTCAGGATGAATATGCCAAAATTTTCTTGGCAAAGAGCCAGACTTTGAGACTGAAGTATATTTTATTTTTGGAGATTTTTATATTACAGGGAAGGGGCTATCAAGGATGATTTTGAGTCTCTGTTCTTGTATGGCACCTAATTTAGCAAATGTGGTTTATCGGTCACCACCAGACAAATATATATATATATATACACACACACACATATATACACATATATGTGTATATATATACACACATATATACACACATATATGTGTATATATATATAGCTCTCTATTAGATTTTTGTGTTTTTTTCTTCATTGTATATGGTTTCCTATATAAAAGTTTGGTGATGACATTATTCCTTAAATAAAATTTTGAATCACTGAGACAACTGAAAACAGACACACAGTTTGTACCACACCTTGGAAATTGCAGGTCTCTGTGGAATCTTCTCCATTTAGACAAGGAGCTCTTTTTTCAACTTTGCTATTAATTCTTGGAGACTTCCTCCTGTTTATGACTCATTCTGTGATGTGGGTTTGATTACATACAACAGGATCTGTCACTGTAGCTAGTGAGCTACAAGGGAAATGGCAATTACTGCTATGATAATATGGCTTCAGGTTTACCATCTATCCATCCATTTGGAATTTCTTTCAAATTTACTTTTTATTGAGATAACATTACTTTAGCACTTTAAATATTTTTAAATCTAAAATATTGCATAAAACATATTACTAGTGCCAATATTCCCCCAAATAATTGTAATCCCTTATTTTAAAAAATTTATTAGTGAAACACCATGAGGTACAGGTGTAGACTTAGAACTATTTGTTCTTGTGATTCAGTTATACAGTGATCAAGTACCCATCCTTCCACCAGTGCCCATCCTCCACGACAACGGGTCCTTGTATCCCTCCAAACCCCCATCCCCCAAATCCCACCATGCCTCTGTGGCAGGGCATTCCATTTTGTTCTCTCTCTCCTTTTGGGTGTTGTGCTCTGCAAAAGAGGCATTGAATGGCAATAATGTTTGGTCTACAGTCCACTTTAAGCATGCATCTTGCATCCTGGGATGATTCTCCCAACACCATTTATTTGGTGCTCCATTCTCTATAATCCCCTATTTTAAACCCACTCCTATCCTCTTTGATAAATCAGCTCTTTACAGGAGGGAATGAACTCAGTGCAAAAGATACCTAAGGGATCCATCCTTGTGATTTGGGGCTAGAAGATGTAATGGTGTTTGAGTCCTCTGGTGCCAGAAATCCTGTAGTGTTTGGGATCAAAATGGAGTAAACAACATACAAGTCGCGTACTTTCAACCTCTGAACTCTATTGCATTGTAAACTCATATACTTGTGAATCTCTATGTTGTAAAAGTTTTTTTTTTTGGTGAGGTAGTGGGGGAACACACAGCTCTGCTCAGCATTTATTCCTGGCTGTGAGCTCACTCCTGGTGCCAGGGATTGTACCCTGGTTAGCTCGGTGCAAGGCAAGTGCCTTACATGCTGAACCACTACTATGGCCCATTTATTCAACCTTCTAATTTTTTTCATGTAGAGACATCAGATAACATGTGGTGTTTTAGCAAAGTGCCAAAAATTCTACCCTAAAAAAATGACACTCAAAATTCAACTTTGCAAATAAATCAAGTTAGTGCTCTTCAAACAGTAACGCACACCTGTCATGTTTATACTTTTATGTGAAGGACAAAGCATCTTACTCTTTTCCAAATGGACTCCTAGAAATACTCATTACATGTAATAGCATAGACAACATCAAGGTATTCATTCCTTAACCTAGCATCGCACACCAAGTACAAAAATGATGACTTCCCCAAATTCTCACTTACTGTGTGTGTAAAGGAAGAACAAAGAAAGTGGGGTCAATCACACAGATTCTTAACAGTAGTTAGTATCTGGCCATTGGAAAATTTTAGACAACTCTAGTGTGAGATAGGAGCTTCTAGGGAAGAATACAGGATCTATATCTTTGTTCTCTAAAAGTAGAATTCTTCAAAGGGATTGAGTAATTTTTTTCTGGAAAGAGTGGGTAGTCCAATGAAAAAAAAAGACAAACACAAGCAAAACTCTAATTTATTTTGGAATCATTATATGTTACTGAAATACCACTACATAGCACATTTTAGGTGACATATGTAAAATTACATAAAATATCTGTACATATTATGGAATTATGGTCACAAGAATTCACTGTACTGAAAGGGAAATTTACATGAGGCACACCATAATTTCCCCCCTCTATAACTTAAGATACTATCTACTGTAATGAAGTTGTTTTTTTCATTATTTCCAAAGATTTTTCTACTCTTATGATAAACAATCTTCCTCTAAAATACAGAGAGGTAGTTTTTGTTTGTGCTTCTTGAAATATAACTTTAGTCCTAAAGAGAATAATAAAAATCTTAAAAATACCAACTGGAAAACTTCAAACAGGGAAAACCATCAAGCCAACAAGAGATATACACATATCAGGAATATTCAGTGAACAGGCTTTTCCAAACATAAACAAAAGAATGTGCCTCAGTCCTTACCAGGGCTGAGATTAGCAACTGGCTGTGCTCCTGGCTTCTGTGCTGCCTTTTTCTTAGTGGCAGCTCTAGAAGCTGGGACTTGGGTGCTCTCTTCCACTTGTTTCAAAGCCTCCTGGTAATGCGGGAGAAATTCCGTGGGTACTGTACACATGACTCTGACCAAAAAGTTTAGAATTTTCTCCTTGCTGATTTCAGCTTGGGCTCTGGGACCCCACAGGAACTCAAAGCGAGGGGGATCACTCTGAGGTACCTGGCGGTACTCCAGGTATTTCTGCTTCACCAAATCATGGGTTACGAGCTTCCTGGGCTCCTGAAAGACCAAGTTTCCCTCCTCATCCTGTATACCCATGTTACACAGGAAGCTCCAGATTTGCTCTTCAGAGGCATGGTTTCCATTAAGGAAGATCAAACCGAGAAGAGGCATCAGAAGCCCATTTTTAATAATTTCCATTTCATCATCCACATGCCCAGTATCGGTGCTCTCTAGCTGGCTGAAAAGGATATAAGAGTGACCAGTGGGCTTGGTTTTCTTTAGGGAAATACAAAAGATGAGCTCTAGGCGATCAGTGGCCATCTTGAAGATCTCTGAGAACTGATTCAGGTATCTTTTGTTGACAACCTTCACCATCTCAGCCTTGGTCAGGGGCTCTTTCACTTTATACTTGTACAGCATCAGCTGCAACAATAATCCTGCCCTTTTACTTATAGGATCAGTGTTGCCCGACACATTGGCGGCCATGGCCTTGGATGTGCTTGGTTTTCTCTCACCTTGGCCTTTGGCACCAGCATCAGATCCTCTGCGTGAAACACCTGCAGCAGCATGGGTGGTAGGGGGAGCCTTCTGAGGCCCCTGGCCAGAGCTGGAGGCAGGGGGGCTCAGGGATGTAGAGTCAGACTCAAGAGAGGCTGGAACTGGCGACCCCTCCTCTGCCTCAGTGGCTGGAGAATCTTGAAGACGCTGGCTCTCGTCTCGGGCCTGTTGGCGTTTCTCACGGGCACGTTGTTTACTTTTCTGACCACGAGGCATGATGCTTGGGTCTAAGATGGCAGGAGTATGGTCTAGGTGATGTGGACCCTGGGGGAAAGAGAATGATAGATTGTGAGCATGTCATGAGGAAAAGAAACCCCTTGGCTTGGAAAAAAAAAGCCTGCAGGTTTCCTTGAGAGTTCTGCTCTCAAAGCCACAGGGATGTTGCAGTTCCCAGTCCACCCCTGAATAATCCCATAGAAAAACCCACAGAAATCTGTAAGGGTTCTGAATCCCACCAGCCATGCCTATTATGTACAGAGGATAGAGCAGGGGCTGGTATTGGGAGCTTTGAACTCAGCACTGGGATTCTGGTCAGCTCACTTTCCATCCATTTGTCTTACAGTTCAGTGGGGTTCTTTCAATCTGGGATTCCCTGTCCTCTTGTGCCCTCCTTCATAATCCATCTGGCAAATCAAGGACTTGTCACTGTGCCTGTAGACTTTCTGATGGCTACACATTTTGAATAACTCCAGCACGGTCCTCCCATTTTCATCGATTTGCTAGATTGGTCCCAGTAATATCTCCATTGTGAGACTTGTTGTTACCATGTTTGGCACATCAAATGCATCATGGGGAGCTTGTCAGGCTTTGTCCTGCGGGCAAGATACTCTCGGTAGCTTGCTGAGCTCTCCGAGAAGGGCAGAGGAATCGACCTAGGGTGGGCCAAGTTGGCTGCATGCAAGGCAAACGACCTACCTACTGTGCTATCTTCCAGCCCCATTTGGAATAACATTATCTATATATAGTTCTAGATGTGTCAAAAGACATTGCTATTTTGTGTCTATTCTTAGTCCTCAAAACTAATAAAATGAGAATCTTTTATGGATGAGAGTATTATATGGTCACATAGTCCTAAACACCGCAACATACCATCTATCCCCCCATCTTCTGAACAGAGGAGTCTATTCTCTTCACTTGCCCCAATCCTGCATCTCTTGAGATATCACCTGGAAATGAGTGCAGTTCATACCACCATGCCTCAGTTACCCCTAATGAGAATTTAGCTCGAGGGTGTTTAGAATCTTTCTTCACTTGGGTGAGCCCACATATTATGCTGGACAATCTTTTTTTTGTGTTTTTTTTTTTGACGCTTTGCTGTACTAGCCATTGACCCTGGCCCTGAGGTCAAGGATTACTCCTGGCATCGGTTGGTCAACCATACGTGCTTACAGGGATCGAACGGGCTCCTCGGCATGCAAGGCAAATTACCTCCATACTGTCCTATCGCTCTAGCCTCAGTGTGACAACCCTGAGTCCTGTTAGTGACTACGTTCATCTAACTCACTGCACTTAATCCCATCCTGCAAGACCCTGCCTCCCTGAAACAGCGTGTTGAGAAATGTCAAGTGTAAAGAAACCACCTCCCACTCACTAGTTGAACACAGCCTGCCTTTCTCAACCCTGCCGCTAGGTAATAGATGCTTTAATGAGCCTGGGTTTTGTGGTTGAAGTCCCTTAAGTCTAAATCTTAGAAGAGCCATTTCCGGTTCGCTCACATGCAGCCCACTAGAGCTGAATGTACAAATGCTGCACGGATTGCGCCTCCTTTCATCATGGCTGCTGGTTAGCTCCCGACCCAGGTCTCTCTGGATGTTAAAAGGCAGCTGGAGCGATAGCACAGCTGTAGGGCGTTTGCTTTACAAGCGGCCAACAGGCAGAGCCTGGCAAGCTCCCCATGATGTATTCGATATGCCAAACACAGTAACAACAAAGTCTCCAATGGAGACGTTACTGGGCCCGCTCAAGCAAAATCGACGATCAACGGGAGGGCCTTTACCTTTTTACCTTTTACTCAGAGTCAAAGATTACGAAATTTTACTTGTGTTACTTATTATTATATGCATGTTGAGCTTGTCTTAGTTGAATCTGCTACTCTCAGAAGCGGCGCAAGCATTCCGGCATGAAGCCAGGTTGCCAATCGCCACACCCGAACTGCTTTGGACACTTTTCCTTTCACTCTTTCCATAATCCCGCAAACTATCTACTGGCGCCTCCCAAGAAGAGCGCTTGGGTGATACTTCAAAGTTCGCCTTTCTTAAGGAGGCCGTGTTTTTTCCCCCTCTCTCAGAATCTTTACCTGGAATCCGGACCAGTCCTCGAAACCCGCCTTTCCTGGAGAAACTCCGGCGAGAGCCCGATGTCCTCGGAGACTTCCGGCTTAAATGATTGAGGACGAGAACGTGAACGGAAGCGGAAGTTGGGGCAGCCATATCCGCCTGCGCTGCGCTGCTGTGGGGGGGGGGGGCTCTACGCAGGGGCTCTGGGCGGGGCTCTCGGGGAGCTTGTTGCTACACAGCTGGTGTTTCCCGAAATCTCGCGTGGTTCTTGTCTTTGCTGTTTCTCAGCATCTAGGCAGCTCGGACTGTCTCTGCCCACCTAATCGAGTCGGTTCCAACAAAAGGCATTCCCATTCCGAGTATTGGTGGTAGGCAATGCCTCATCTCTCCTTGAACATGAGTGCAGAAACAGGTATCAAGGAAGCCCTTCCCTTGTGAAGCAATTCCTTCATCTGAAATCGGGGCAAAGGAGCAGCATTTGGGGTATTTGCTTTGCACCCAGCTGACCGAGTTTTATCCATGACAGCCTGTTTAGTCCCCTGAGCATGTCATAAGTGTGCCCTAAGAACCACCTGGTAGCTTCAAAAGTAACAGTAATCTAGGTGGACCTGGAGAATTTAGCTAAAGCAGGACTCCTTACACTGAGGAATAGAACTGCTGCTTCAGACTAAGGGATTTACTTTGAGCCTATGAAAGTGTTAGCACTTCTTATGCTCCTTCTATGCCTTTGTGTTCTAAAGTTTTCCTGATGCTGTCTCATAATATCCCATTTTCTGCGGCTGGAGTGATAGTACAGTGGGTAGGGAGTTTTCTTTGAACTTTACTGAGTTTGGTTGGATCTATTGCAACCATATTGTTCCCCAACTTGGCCGTTAGTGATCCCTTAGTGCCGAACCAGAACTAAGCCATAATCACCTTCATGTTCGACTTAAAATATGAATTAATAAATTAATCGTGTAATTAATTAATAAATTAATAGTGATTAATAAATTAATCGTAATAAATTACCTTTCTTATCTTAACTTTCTTCCATTTAGACGTAGTTTTTTTCCATATCTGTGATCATTTAAGCCAGTTCAACATGATTTATAGCTCCTTGACACTCTTTAGAGCAATTCGGTAGGGGTAGGCTTGTGTCAGGCATGGCAATTCTCTCTATATTTCAAGGCTGACAGAATTAGGATTTTCCTGGCTTCTCAGTTGGAAAGTTAGTACAGTGGGTATGACATTCTCCTTGCAGAATCCATACCTGGGTTAGATCACTGGCATCTCATATGGTACCCTGAGCATTGCCAAAAAATAATTCCTAAGATCAGAGCCATATTTAATCTCTAAGCATTACCAGGTCTGCACACCACCTCCACCAGAAAAAAATGTGTGGGGCTTGTTTTGAGGTGGGTACATACCAATTTAATTAACTTTTTGGCGGCACCCCGGAGAGCTCAGGAACTGCTCACAAGGTCGTGTTCAGGGCTCACTCCCTGTGCTGATAGTGATGGAGTGGGAGGAGTGGGGTTTAGGAAGTATAGTGCTTGAGAAAGAAGCCTGGCTTCTGGCATGTGCAGTAGTCTTTTGGCCTATCTGAAGAGATTCAGGATACTTCATTGTGTCCCTCGCTTTGTTCAGAGTACTCATATTAATGTCTGACTTGACTTCCTGGGAGCTCCATTCTCTTTTGATTTGGAGATTACTTTAATAGAATCAATGAACTTATGGTAACTCCATATTGAAATTCAGGATAAGCCATATCCACTATTGCTTGGCTTAGTCTGGCATGGGGGGTGAGGGGGATAGGGTGGTGGGGTGGGAGGGCTACTGGGATCATTGGTAGTGGAGAATGAGCACTGGTGGAGGAATGGGTACTTGATCATTGTATAACTGAAACCCAAGCACGAAAGTTTGTAAGTCTACACTGTACTTCATGGTGTTTCACTGATTAAAAAATTTTTTTAAAAAAAGAGAAGACAAGCTAATAATTTTTATATGATTTTTGGTCCACATCTGAATGTGCTCTGGGATCACTCCTGTTGAGACTTGGAAATCAATCTCAGGTTGGTTGCATGCAAAGCAAGCTCCTCACCATTGTGTATCATCTCTCTGTGATTCAGTGTTCATGAAACTTTTCTTTCTGGATCTACCAAGCTTTTTCCATTTTAGATTCCTTTACCTCAAAAGAGAAGGCCAGGAAAAAAATCTCAGAGGGAGCACTTTCTTTGCATATTAGAGTCCAAGTTCATTTCCAGAAGTTAAAAGTCTTTAGTACACTCAGCAGGTTTGATATTGATCGTCCCTGGTTATTCCCCCCAATCTAACAACTCATATATCAAGGGAATATGTCTCCCTGCTGTTCTGAGGATGCTCTTATTATTTTGTACTCTTACATGCCTCAACTTAATTTTGTGGTGTTAGCTGAGATGAGTGATGGCACACTCAGCCAGACCACTTTGATTGACCTGGTAACTGTAACAGTTTGAAACTGATAATGTGAAGCCCCTATTTCCCAAGGTGTTTTCCTCCTGAGGTTTCTAACATATAGATTTTTCACCTTGGCTCCTGGTTATAAATTAATGACTCCTAGTAACTGCCACACGTCCAGAAAATTTGAATAATTTCCCCTTTGCAATCAATGTTTACCTTTCTAAGAGTAATATGAAATGTCCCAGGAAATGTTGTGAAGTTTCAGGGGTTAAAATATTCCTATATTGTTCTAGCAAATGGCCAGACTTACCAGGTGAAGTAAATTCTAGTTTAGTAGATTTATACACTACAGAAAGGGGCTATCCAGGATGATTTTGAGAGTCGCTATTCATTTGCAGTCATCGAATTTTGTAGATTCGATTGATCAGAAACTGACAGGTAAATGACATACTTATACCTATTGGATTTTTGTTCAGATCTTTGTATTCTTTCTAAATTGTCTATGTTTCCTCAAGTAAAACT